CTTTCAGATATATTACAGTGTGCTTGGATTTTCAAAAATTTTATTTCCATGCAGCTTGTCAATGATTTATTATTATTATTATTATTATTATTATTTTTTAAGGCAGGGTCTCACTTTGTTACCCAGGCTGGAGTGCAGTGGTGCAATCTTAGCTTACTACAGCCTCTGTCTACCTCCTGGGTTCAAGTGATCAACCTGCCAAGTAGATGAGACTACAGGCGCACGCTACCACTTCCAGCTAATTTTTTGTATTTTTTGCAGAGGCAGTGTTTCGCCATGTTGCCCAGATTTGTCTCAAACTCCTGGGCTCAAGAAATCCACCCACTTCAACCTCCTAAAGTGCTGGCATTCCAGGTGTGAACCACCACGCCTAGCCAAAGATAAGGTTTTATATAACTTTCTCTTGCATAACTTTGGAGGAGCAGTGTAGTGTAGTGCAAAGTTATCCAACTTTAAAGGACACAAGAATTACCTAGGAGATTAATAGCTTTTTAGGGCCCAGGAAACCCTCTAGATACTTCTGGTAGAGGTAGTCCAGGGACAATACTTGGGGGAAACACTGGCTTTGAGGTTTTACACAGATAAAAAAATACCTACTTCATAAATTAGTGATGGTGATTTAATCTATGGTATCTCTACAGTTCTTGGAATAGAACCAGGTACATAGGAAATTGTTCAAAATATTCCATTCTTGTGTGATGACTTGGGTGGCAACTAAGAATCAAGAGAATATTCCTTCTTTTCATTCAACAAAATTTATTGAATTCCAGCAGCATTCTAGGGACTTGTGGATATAGGGGAAAATGGGCACATTCCTCATTCTTGTTGAATTTATTTGATCAACTCATTTTAAAGGTATAGTTCTTACCTTGTTAAAAAATAATAAAAGGACTATTGAGGGCATGTTTGCATAATCTTTTCCCTTGCAAATTAAAGTTTTGTTTTTTACTTGAATGAGGATTGCAGTTCAAAGAAATGGCCTATTATTTCTCAGTTTTCTTGTTGCTTTAAATCTATACTGTCCAATACAGTAGCCACTAGATACTTGCAACTATTTAAGTCAATTAAACTTGTATAATATTAAAAATACAGCTCCTCGGTGGCACTACCACATTTCAATTGCTCAGTAGCCACATGTGGCTAGTGGCTGCTTTATTGGACAGTGAGATGTAGATCATTTCCATCATCATACTAAGTTCTGTTGGGACAGTGTTATTCTGGAGTTTACAACTACAAAGTGGTGATTTTCCAATCGTCTTGATTTGTAGATTGATTTTGAGGCAAGTATTAGCAGTGGCTTGAGGCTGTCACGTAAGTGTATTAATTCCCTTTCAGGTTGACCAGGCCCAGGGCTAGTATTGATTTACCTTAACAGTTTCATTACACAGCCAGTGAGATATAAATGCTAAGACATCCGGGCATTTTCTTTAAACTTCTGAGTAATACACTAAGGTTATTTTACTGCATTAGTCATAGCTTTTCTCATGCTGTGTGTGTGTGTGTGTGTGTGTGTGTGTGTGTAGAGAGAGTTAATTCACCTCCATAGCGTTATAATTGTTTCAAATGTATATCTAATGAAATTTTGAGGACAAAGGGGTAAAGAAGAGTTGCAATTGCATCTGAATACTAGAACTGAATACTGGAATTCATGGTACTTACCATGAATTTAAAAAAGAAAATAAAATAATTTCTTTTATAGAAACCAGAACTAAGAGTAGTGAAAAGTTGGTTTAACACTGTTTACTCAGCATTCCACTGGGTAGAACCCCAGTTATGATTATTTAAAAATATTAATTATGAGACTGAGTGCAGTGGCTGGCTCATGCCTATATTCCTAGCACTTTGGGAGGCCGAGGTGGGCAGATCAGCTGATATCAGGAGTTTGAGACCAGCCTGACCAACATGGTAAACCCTGTCTCTACTAAAAATACAAAAAATTAGCTGGGTGTGGTGGTGCATGCTATAATCTTGGCTGCTATGGAGGCTGAGGCAGGAGAATGACTTGAACGTGGGAGACGGAGGTTGCAGTGAGCTGAGATTGCGCCACTGCACTGTAGCCTGGGCAACAGAGTGAGACTCTATCTCAAATATATGTATATAGATACATATGTGTATATATATGTATATATGATATATATGCATATATGATAAATATACATATATACATATATGATAAACACATGCATGTATATACGTATATGTGACAAATACATGTATATATACGTATATATACATATATATGACAAATTTAATGTTTTAGTAATTGAAAAACCAAGGATAAATTCTTCTGTATTTTTGTTGTTTTTAAAACCTGCATATAAAATTGAGTAGCACCCACTACATTCCAGTGTCTAGGTCATGAATGCAGTTTTTTGGGGCAGAGTTCAGTAAATGATATGCAAGTGCAATTGGGTTTTTGCCTCTGTTTCCTGAATATGAGTAGCTAGTTACAGATAGGTCTTACCTCCTTTTTTTCCTTCAGTTTTTGCTGTTGTTCCTCTCTGAGAAGAAAGGCAATAAGAGACTGCTGTCATTTGGTCACGGGTCAGGGATTAGTGCGGCTGAAGTCATTGAAATCCTTTTGTATGTTATTGCCTCCTTCAGTGACCTTCTGTCTTTCCAGGTCACTTACTTCAGCCTTTGGTACTACAACAAGCAAAATCAGCGCCGGTGGGTAGATTTGGAAAAACCTTTGAAGAAGCAGCTGGATAAATATGCATTGGAACCGACCGTCTATTTTGGAGTGGTGTTTTATGTGCCTTCAGTTTCTCAGCTGCAGCAGGAGATTACCAGGTGAGAAATTACATGCCATTTGTTTTTAGGAAATAGTCTAGTGAGATGTAAAAAGTGAAACTAAGGTTGAAGTCAGAAGATAAGTTTGGAACTTTGCCTCTCGCCCCACATTTTTAGCTACGGTATTACAAAGAGGTTCTCATATGTGGCATGTCAGAGTGTTTTACTACATGTTGGGTAACTTATGGGTTCAGTAGGCACAAAGGAATAATTAAAGGGAAAAATGATGGATTTACCCTAGCTGTGCACTCTTCCTGTAGTGATGTTACCTTTAATGTTTGTGTTGTTTCTGATCCTTTGTGATTAGGAAAGGAGAGAAGATATTTTAGAAAATTAGTCACAAAATCTGTGTTCATTCCTCAATGAAATGTGCTGAAAGGCTCCTAGAATTCTCTTCCTCTAGCTATATTCTGTAGACAGGTTGGGGAGGGAGTACAGAGGAGAGGGAGGGAAGTGTTTAAGATCAGGAAATTTTGGCTGATAAGTGCACTTAATAGGGACAAAAGCAGAAAGGGAAGATGATATTAAGGAGCAGAATAGAGGAACTAAGTGTTCTTATTCTTTTTCCCCCTGAAGACAACGAAAAAAGGAATAAAATTTGAGTTCTTGAGCGTGGTTTTCAAAGTTCTGTGAATCCCATCACTGCCTTATCTTTTTAACCCTATTTAATGTTACTTTTGAGCCAAGCTGAGCTACTTCAAGGGCCCGAAACATACCGCATGCCCTTTCGTCTTTGTGTCCTAGATCTTTCTCTCACATGTATTTACTGGAATCCTGTTTGCCTCCTGAGTTGTGGTTCAGAAGGTACCTCCTCCATGAAGCATCTATGACCCCAGGACAGAATGAGTTTTGGCTTACGACCTAGAATTTGATTCTACTTGTGTTCAGATGGTAATTGTCATACCCTATTATTAGGATTTTGCAGGTATCTTTTTCCTAGGTTTTAAGCCTATGTTTTCTTTAGCTTTACTTAATGATATCTTACACAGTACCTTGCGGACAGTGAGAACCTGGTACTGTCTCGTGTTTGTGGAGTGCTGTTTGAGTCTGCCAGTTAATGATTAGGAGAGAATGGAAAGTCAAAGCAGTAAGGATCCAGTGGTAGGAATAAACACAAACTGACTGTAAAAGTCTGAGATAGAAATAATGAAGAGAAAATGGAAACCAGAAGGAAAAAGCCTGAACTGATCACTTTAACTCATTTAAACATTTACTGAAGATACGCTCTTAAGAACTGTGTTGAATAGAGTGGGAGGTGAATATGCTTTAATCCCACCCTGGAGGAGCCGCTCACAGTCTGGTGGAATTGGCAGTTCATATAAATAGTTACAGTATCCTATGATAATAAATGCTTTAATTAAAGCTGTGGATTCCTAGGGGTGGGGCAAGGGGAACTTGAACAGGAAAGGTAGAGAGACTGACATTTAAATTGACTTTAGAAATGTTCTAGAGGGAATAGTTTTTGCAAAGCAGGGGAAGTAATCAAAATGATTACATGTCTTCAGGAAGTTTCAGGTATTACTTAGAAAGGAGATTTAAAAAATAGGCATAGCAATAAAGTCATGGTACAATGAGGAAGAGATTTTCAAATTTAATGGAATCATTAAATTTATATTTTACAAAGATCACCCATCATAGAAGGTAGATCAGAGATGGCAAGACTATAGGCAGGAGACCAGTTTAGGAATACCTGTACCATAATCTAGGCGTAGGTTTACAATATAGAACTGAACAGAAAGGCATTAGCTGTATTGAGAGAGAATGGGCCTATTAGAGTCAATCAGTAGGATTGCTCATTGATTAGGTATAGGAGCGTCTGATAGAGAAGTTGTATCAGTAAGGATTAAGTATAGCTATATATAACAAAAACCCTAAATATCATTGACTTCTGTGAGACAAGTTCAGAAGTCAGCCTTGCAGAGCTTGTCTGACAGCTCCACAGAGTCTTCACAGACGCTCGCTGTTTCTCTTAGTGCTCCAGTATCCTCAGTGTGTCCTTCCCATGCACTAGGTTTACCTTTTGGTCCAAGATATCCAGAGTTCTGTCTATCACATCCATAGTCAGAAAGCAGATGAGTGGTTTCCTAGGAACAGAGTAGGAATTGGAGAGACAGATTATGAGGGGTGCAAGGAAACTTTTGCAGGTGGTATGTTCCTCATCTTGTAGTGATGGTTTCATGGATGTATGCATGTGTCCAAATTGTCAACTTGAAATCTGAACAGCTTCTTTGTATGCCAATTATACCTCAAAAATGGTGTTTTAAAAAACCCACTCAAAGATATTGTAAGAAAACAAAGTGGGAGGGCCGGGTGTGGTGGCTTACACCTGTAATGCCAGCACTTTGGGAGGCTTACGGGGGGCAGATCATCTGAGGTCGGGAGTTCGAGATCAGCCTGCTCAACATGGAGAAACCCTGTCTCTACTAAAAATACAAAATTAGTCAGGTGTGGTGGCACACGCCTGTAATCCCAGCTACTCGGGAGGCTGAGGCAGGAGAATTGCTTGAACTCAGGAGGCTGAGGTTGCAGTGAGCCGAGCTGGCACTGCTGCATTCCAGCCTGGGCAACAAGAGTGAAACTCTGTCTCGAAAAAGAAAAAAGAAAACAAAGGGGGAGAACAACAATCTGATTAATATACCTTTAGAAAGTGCAGACTTAACAGAAAAATACGACCACAAAGCAGCAGAAAACTGGCACCTAATACTACAAAATGAACTTTAAAAATTAAGAAAATAACAGATGATATGAAAGAACCATTTAAATCTGAATTAGAAAAGCTTGGGAATAATTTGGCTATGTAACAGGTGAATATGAAAATAGCTGCAAAAACAATTAGAAATTTTGAAATGATAGAAACTATAAAAGTATAGAAGATTAAAAAATAGATGTAATAGGATTCCCTAAAGGAAAAAGCCAAAACATTCTTCTAACAATATGATCTAAGTCAAAACATTGGCAAAGAACAAATTCCAAAAACTATATAACAAATTCTATATTCTAGCTATAACACATTTTAAAAACTTCCTTGAAAGGAAAATGACTTGAAGCTCTGTATTGAAAAGACGTACTGTGTACCTGGCATGGTCAGTCCAGAGCAATCAGTGCCAACACATTCTGCAGAGTCACCAGAAATTGGGCATCCAGACTAAAGCTGTTAAAAAATTAAGAAAATAAGATTGGTGTCAGACTTCTGGAAAAACACTTCATGCCAACGGACAAAAAAGTAACATTTAACATCCTCAAGGAAAGGAAATAGGAGGCAATGATTATATATCTAGCAAAAACGACCTGTGAATATATCTTAGTGCGAGCTGCCATAACAAAATATTATAGACTGAGTAGCTGATGTATTTTCTCAGTTTGGAGATCTGAGCATAGTTGAGGTCTCATGAGGGCTCCCTTCCTGGCTTGCAGAACTTCCGGCTGGGTCCTCACATGGCAGAGCGAACAAACACTCTGGTGCCTGGAGTTCTTACTTGCAAAAGAGGAAATTTTGTTTCAATCATCAATAATTGTGCCTCATTTGAACCTCACTGGCTACGATACTGCCACTGCACAAAGCTTGGAAATTTTGACCATCATAATTTTGACCAACTAGGCTGGGCACGGTGACTCACGCCTGTAATCCCAGTACTTTGGGAGGCCGAGGTGGGTGGATCACTTGAGGTCAGGAGTTTGAGACCAGCCTAGCCAACATGGTGAAACACTGTCTCTACTAAAAATACAAAAATTAGCCGAGCGTGGTGGTGCATGCCTGTAATCCCAGCTACTCAGGAGGCTGAAGCAAGAGAATCGCTTGAACCTGGGAGGCAGAGGTTGCAGTGAGCTGAGTTTGAGCCACTATACTCCAGCCTGGACGACGGTGAGACCCCATCTCAAACAAAATAAAACAAACAAACAAAAAAAGAATACAACTGCATGAATTGAAACACATCGAATATATCTTTTAAAATTCACGAATTCATAATACTTAGAAAAAATAACCTCATTGGTCACCTTTGAAACTTACTAGAATACAATACATTATTCTGAATGGCAGTAAGTTTATCCTATCTTTATAGATTGTATAAAGAGGAAACAATCATCAGTATTGGCTAAAACCTTTGGGTAAAAGGAACAGGCTGGCATCATCTGAACTCAGTGGGCAATGTCAGCATCACTGTAAGTGGGACAACCAAATACCATTTCTTCTGATGTGATGCATCCGGAAGTACCAGGCACCACCAGGTTAAATGACTAAAATGAACTTGTATCGAAGCAAGCCTCTAGTCTGCACTGTTCAGTAAGGTAGTTGTTAGCTATATGTGGCTATTTATAGTTAATTAAAATTAATACAATTAAAATTTTTCTTGCATTAGCTACAGTTCAGGTACTGAATAGCCACATGTGGCTAATGGCTACTATATTGGGCAGCGCAGATACAAATAATTTATATCACTGTAGAATGTTCTTTTAGACAGTGCTGCTCTAAATCTAATGATCAGTTTTCAGGAAAAATGTGAGAGCATGTAAACTTGCCAAATGACCCCATGAGACTACAATCACAAAAGTCCAGAAGGTAGGAAATTCTACATGACAAATGGCTCCATTTCTGTTAATAACATGAAAATAAAAGGGAATAAAAACTTTCTTTTTTATAGCAAGAGAGATTTAGAAATATCCATTAAATGTAATCCGTAGACCTTGTTTGGATTCTAATTTAAGAAAATTGTAAAAATGCATTTTTGAGGCGATCATGAAAATTGCAAATGAATCAGGTATTGAGTACTCAGTATAAAGATGTTCATTTTGTTGGGTGTGATAAAAATGTAGTTACGTTTTTAAAAAATAAAGCTTACCTTTTAGGGATATGTACTGAAGTACAGGTGGCATGACGTCTGGGATTTGCTGTAAAACACTGGTGGTGGAGGGGGCACAGGAGAGGATGGATGGAGAAAACGTGGTAGGCATAAGGTTGATGGGTGAGGCACCATGATAAGGAGATGGGGTCACTATACTTAATGTCTATACATATATTTCAGAATTTCCAAAATAAAACTTAAAAAATAAAAATGCCGATGCCTACACATTGTCTTCTATTACTTCTATTACTAGTAGAAGTCTAAGAAAAACAGATGAAGACAAAAAGCTGCCTCTTCATACATTATTTGGAATTTCTGTTGTGCAAAATGTGGTCACCTAATTTATTATATAATTCTTGTCATATATTGTATGAAATATTTTATGTTGGAAAGTTGATCAGTAACTTGATAAAGATTTAGATAAAATATTTGATCAGCATATTTTTACTTTCGGGCAAGTTTATGGAATACTTGCTTTTGAATTAAAATGTGCAATTTCTTTTATTCCTTGGCTGACAGTTTTGAATTCAGGTCTACGTGTTACATTTTATTACTGCTTTGTTTTTTTCCTATTATTTCATTCTTGTTGCTCGGTTGCCAGGCTGGAGTGCAGTGGCGTGATCTTGGCTCACTGCAACATCCGACTCCCAGGTTCAAGCGATTCTCCTGCCTCAGCCTCTGAAATAGCTGGGATTGCAGGTGCTCACCACCATGCCCAACTAATTTTTGTATTTTTAGTAGAGATGGGGTTTCACCATGTTGGCTACGATGATCTCAATCTCCTGACCTCATGATCCACCCTCCTTGGCCTCCCAAAGTGCTGGGATTACAGGCATGAGCCACCGCACCCGGCCTGCAAAAATATTGAAATAACATATTTATAAGCCATCTTCAGCCCCACCAATATATAGAAATTTTAGCAAAAAGTGATAATGCCATTGAAGTGAAATTTCTTGGCCATCTGCTCCTACAGTAAATACCTCTTTAAGAAAAACATATTATGGCTGGGTGTAGTGGCTCATGCCTGTAATCCAGGCACTTTGGATGGCCGAGGTGGGAGGATCGCTTGAGCTCAGGAGTTTGAGACCAGCCCGGGTGACATAGAGAGACCCTGTTTCTATAAAAAAATTAAAAACAATTTAGCCAGATGTGGTGGTGTACACCTGTGGTCCCAGCTACTCAGGAGGCTGAGGCTTGAGGATCACTTGAGTCCAGGAGGTTGAGGCTGTAGTGAGCCATGATTATGCCACTGCACTCCAGCCTGGACTATAGAGCAAGAGGCTGTCTCAAAAAAAAAAAA